CCATTTACAAGCATTTTATCTGCGTTTTATGTTCTGTAAAAAAAATTTCATATCGGTGGCATATTCGCCGATAACGATATATCTGCGACAGGCTCATATCGACCGATAAAATCGGCAAAACGATATATCGGTCGGGCTCTAGTAATGATGCTAAAAATTCCACTTTGATCACAGGAATAAATTAAATTTTAACATGTATTCACATTTTAAACTGTAATAATATTTCACCATTTTACTATTTTTACTGTATTTTTAATTATCAATGTTGAAAACAGTTGTGCTGAACAGTATTTTTGTGGAAACCGTTTTTCAGGATTCACAGAAGAATAGAAAGTTAAAAAAACAGCATTTATTTGAAATAGAAATCTTCATCCTGAATAAAAATATTAATTTCTTTCCCAAATAAAGATTTGAATAAAAATCAAAACTATATATATAAATATATAAATGTATAAAATAATTAATAATATATAAAATAATATAAAAAATTATATCAATTAAAAAAATGTTATAATAAACTTATAAAAAAAAGAGTTTGTTGCCTGTGAGACACTTCAACTCTCATAACTCACAAAGTTCATCTAAAACATTTACTGAAACTGAACAGCAAAAACGACTTGTTCAGAAATCATCACCACCAGAACCTTATTACATATACCTGCCCTCATTTGCATATCTACACCTATTTAGCTTTCAATCTGTTCCCGATAAACATCAGTGTGAAATGTCTTAAAGGTACAGTAACAGAATTAGCCTTCTGTAAAGGGTGAAAAATGATCATTAGAGACTATGGCTGTTTTTGGTGACGATACGAGCCCAACTGTGTAGAATTTGAGATGTGGACAGTAACGCACCTGTCACTGTGACATTGGCGTCTGCAGACTCTGATACTGGACTGATTCTCGTCTGTCTGTCCAGGTCACTCACACACACGTCAACGCTGACCTCCTCTACTGACACACAGATCGAGACGTTTCCAATAAAGCACATTCAGGTCCTGTCTGCTTGCACGGATGAAGTCCAGAATCTCTTTTCTTACCTTTCTCGCACACTTCCTTCAGCACGCCTCTCTTGATGAGCTCTTCTCTGCTCTGACGCGTCGACATCTTCCTCTCCAGCACTGCCAATCATCAACGACACGCTTATAAATGAAAACAGTAGGGCTGGGTAAAAAATATCGATATCTCGATATTAATCGATTCTCATTTTTACGGAATGAATCCCAAGAATTTATTATTGTAGCCTGTTTTCAGTTAATGGACGGAACATTGAAGGGTAGGCTACTTCCCATCCAATAAATCACAATAAGCATTGTGCTTTGGTACTTTTAATATGAAACAAAGTCTCGGATTTTAAATTCTGTCCATTGTATTGCAGTATTCATACAATAATTGCCGTTTTGGCACTGTTTAATGTGGAGTGACAGATCGCTGTAGCGCCTCAGTTCAACAGATGTGAACTGATCGTCTCCTCCACATTAATACCAGCTTCAGCACAAAATAAACATGACTAAACATCTGAAGGTAAGTTAAAAGAAAGAGTACAACTTTACAATCTGTATCCTGTCTCATGTAATTGCTCAATCAGTGTTTCAGCCGCGCAAAGACGTCAATATAACGGCTTGTAAACAATATCACGTAACGTCACATTTACCTCAGAAAAACATATTCGGTGACCATAAACTCATTAGTCAGATAGAAAAATAAACTGTAAAGAGGAGCATTTTGCTACATATATGCACCATATAACATATTCATCATAATTTTTACTGTTCTTCAATGTTTAATTTATGTTTGAATAAATCCATCAAGTTTTATTGACAGCCACTATTTAAATGTTTATATTTAAAAAAAAAAAAAAAACTCTCATGTATATTTTATAGCATTAGTTGAGATTTGTTTTCCTTGAGAAAATTTGGCATGTACTGTACCTGATATATATCCAAAATAATCGATATTGAATCGAATCGGTAATCGAATCGCAAGCTTGTGAATGAGAATCGAATCATGAAATTTGTGTCAAAACCCAGCCCTAGAAAACAGTGCGTCTGCGGGTGGTTTGGTGTGCGTGTGTCCTACCTGCAGACGTCTGCTTGAACTTGTCGCTCTTTTTCTTTCTCCATTTCCACGGTTTGAAGAGTCGTCCCAGACTGGCCAGTTTGCTGCGTCTGCGGATCGGTGGCGTGTGCGTCCCGGGAACCAGCGAATCGGAGCGCATCGCCGCCAGACGCTCGGCACCCTCTGCTGAACACACCAAAACACACACGGGACGTTTGCAATGGAAGTGTTGGAAGTGGAAATGGAAGAGTTTATTGACCCTTTAGACATTTAAAACAAAAAAAGTTACGTATGTGTTTTATGTTTTGATCCAGGCTCATATAGACTGAGATAGTGAGAATACGAAGATAAAACAGCTCAGACTGAGAAAAACATGCAATTTGGTGCAGATGCTGATATTTCTATGATGAAAGTCTGATGCTTGTGATGTAAATCAGTGAGATCTTTATAGCAGTGCAGCAGATACTGACATAAAATGCTATAAATATCAGTCGTGGCTCTATATCTCCAGTAATAAGATGAGATTGAAATTATCCAAACATATAATGCAGTGATTGAGAGCTGAAGAAATAAAGGCTCCTCAGAAGATGTGAGATGTTCTGGAGGCTTGTGAAGATCATTCCTCCGCTGAGGAACAGTGAAAGTAAAGCTTCTGGAAACAAATGCTCCTCAAAAGATCCTGAGGATCAGATGTGAGACTCTAAAACATGATTGATGGAGAATCAAGTAAAGCTGAGCTGCTTCAGTCCAGTAAGTGTTCATCTGGAGATATTACTGCAGTTATTCTGACCTTTACTTGATCAAAATCAGTCAAGATTGACACATGAAGCTCTAGCTGAAGCTGGACGCTTGTACAATTACACTAGAAGAGCTTTGACTGGAGAAAACGTTCTAAACGATCAATCAGAGACAGAAGACATGCAGTAGATTTGATCATGCTGATCATTTAGAAGCCTTAGAAAATGGCTTTATAGGGTTAAGGAATAGCAGATGTCTTTTATTGTGCTTTTTGAGAGTAAAACTCAACATCCACTTTCACTGCATGAAAACAGAGCTCAAACGTTCGCCAAAACAACAATGAAAGAGAAACCACACAACTTTCACTCCCGGGTGAATTATTCCGTTAACAAACTAGTAAATCAGACCGAAAATTTGAACTTGTAAAATTTCCAGTAGGAAATAAAAAGTCAAGGTGAAACCGAACGGTAATAACTTGAGTAAACGAGCCGAAAGAATTGAAATGCTTTTGAAAGTGCAGAAACTAAGTATTATAAATCTCACAGTGGAGACCAAATACCTTTAGGATCAAGTGATTGGAAAAACTAATGCAACTAATTCAATAATCTTCAGGAGAAATAACTAAAACAGAATCTCTCTCTCCATTTTGTCTCAGATTACAAGTTTTCAGACCTTTTTTTATTACTTTTTCCATTTGGTAACTCAATCAAACTGGGCAAAGACGTCAATTAACAGTCATTCTCTTAGATTAAGGAAATTCAGAAGGGGGGAGACGAGTGTCACACGTATAAAGTGTAAATTTCTAATCCCATCTTCTCACCCCAGGAGAATAATCTTCAGATATATTTGACATCAGCAGAGCTTTCTGCTCACATCTGCGCTCTAATAATCCACCATTCATTCCACACAGTGACTAATATGGTCCCTTACTGACTGTAAAGTGTGGAAAAATCGTTCCCTGTGAGTCCAAGTGCTGTATTGTATCTGAGTCAGC